CCATGTAGAGAGCGTTACAGTAGTCCAGGCGGGAGGTGACAAGGGCATGAGTGACTGTGCGCAAGGCGTCCCGATCCAAAAAAGGCCGCAATTGGTGAATCAGGCGTACCCGATAAAACGTCCCCCTGGCCACGGCCGCCAACTGATCTTCTAGTGTCAGCCGTGGATCCAGGAGGACACCCAAATTGCGCACCCTCTCTGAGGGAGCCAAAGTTTCGCCCCCTATAGACAACGACGGAGTCAGTCGACTATGTCGGGGCGCCGGCAACCACAGCCACTCAGTCTTGGAAGGGTTGAGCCTGAGTCTGTTTCTCCCCATCCAGACCCGTACGGCCTCCAGGCACCGAGCCATCACGTCAAGGGCATCATTGGGGTGGCCTGGGGTGGAAATGTACAGCTCCCTCTCTTTGCTTTATCAGAAGATAGTGAGTGTATGCTCCCTCTCTTTGCTTTATCAGAAGATAGTGAGTTATTCTTAGAAATCTGCGGCTTTTTGACAAGTTCTTTACTTACTACTTTCATTCTTTGCTCCTTATTAGCAAGAGTGGGAGATTTGACTGTGTCTGTTACAGAGGCTTTTGTGAGAGTAGAGGATTGTTGCTTTTGAAGAAAAACGGCTATATTTCTTTTCAATGCCTCCAATTCATGTTTTATGGCTGTAAGATGCTCAAATATTGAGAAAACCGTTTGTGCTGTGAGGAGGCATTGTTCTGCCATAAAGTCAGTTGGATTTTCCCATGGTAGCTCTCTATGTTCTGATCTTTCTTATTATTTTTGGGCTTCGTTTCAACTCTCATGGAACAGGTACCCGGGTTGGTTACTTGTAATGGTGACTGGCTATCATTTTGCTTTTCCCCAAGAAATGAGGAAAGCTCTAATAGTTTTTGTTTTGCCAGCTCTGTTTGGAAGTCCCATTATAGTGCTTCAAATTTGTTAGATATGGGGGGGGGGAGAATTTTTTTTAAATTAAACTTCTTTTCGTGAGAAGTGCTCCTCAATTCTTGGCTGTTTTGCAGAGTTTAAAGGAGGGAGATGTCCCGGGCTAATACCATGGCGCTTCTTTCTTTTCCCCATAACTATCAGTTCAAGACAAAATCCGTTATCTATGTATTTGTCTTCACTATCGTCTCATCCAAACAAAGTTAGTTAAGTAAAAAATAAGCTAATTATATAATAAAATAATAAAACTGAGCGGAGCTGCTGTAAATGTATGTTGCTGGGCTGACAGTTCAGGCTCCTCCTCTTTCTGATAAGTGATATAAACAAACATGATTTTTGGATGTTGTACAATGAAAAGTCAATCTTTTGAAGTTCTTCATAACCAATATTTTCCAAATGCCTACTATAGGATGTTACAAAATCATGCATAGGTTAAAAAAAATCCATTCAAAGTGCACAATAGACCAATGGATTTTAATTTGACAGAAAGATCACTTATTTCAGACTCTGCACTGTAGCTAATCTTTAAGAAACTAGCACTTGCTGAATTTTCAAAGCATATCCACAATTAATTGAAAAGGCTATTAAAATGCTCTTTGTTTTCCAACTGTATTGGGGAGAGGAGACCTTGTTCTCATATCTTTCAGCCCTGCACAGATGACCCCCACAACCTTTGGAAGCAGACCACACTGACCCAGACACTACCTCCAGAGGAGATCCTCCATTCAAGCCATGGAATTGGGTTTGAATCCAGCCATCCACTAAAAAGCCACCATGCAACTAGAGTGGAACAGATCTTCCCAGTGCTACATCACCCAGATGCCCGTGAAAGCTGCAGAGAAAGGAAGGAGTCCTGGAACATTGGTCCCCATGTGAAGCCTCAGAAGACAGCTAGGAAGACTATGGGGGGAGGGCAGAAACTCATTGTAAGGTTTTCTTCTTGCCTCATTTGTATTGTAATAAGCCAGTTGAATGTATTTATGGAGGGATGGCATTTGGGAATAGTTGGCACAGCAAGTACTGAACACCTTGGATTTCTGTCTGGTGCGAGGCAAATTTGTCAAGGATATTTGTATTACATGTTTTGTAGAAGTAGCTGCATGCACATATGCACACATACCATTCAGAATCACACTAAGGCTATCTCCTTCACCTACCTCCATGTAAAGCTTCTTAGACTGGTTCTTGCTCTGTGGCATTAAAGCTTTGCATGCACAACTTCCACAAAATTCCAAGGGGGAGGTAACCAGGCCCCCCCAGGCTATTTGCAATTCATATGCTCTCACTGAGGAGGTAGCAGGAAAGAGATCTCCAAAACCCAAGCCCTGAATATGTTGCACTGGTGGACTCACCGTGTGCAATTTAAAAAATAATATTAATAGCCTGGCTTGCATACTGGCTAACCTCAATTGGACATCACAAACCTGGATGCACTGATCTAAGAGCTAAGGCAGGAAACAACCCTTGAAAATGGGCAGTCAGTTGTTATGTACTGAGGCAAACCATGGCTGTGAAGAATTTTGGAGGAATGTGCAAACCTGACCGGAAGCTCAAAGTGGCATCAAACATCTAAAATAATTGGCACAGAATATTGGACACTATAAATTTCTTTTCCATCTAACAGAACTTTTGCCCTTACTTTTAGACCTTTATGGGTTGGAAGCTCCCCTTTTGGGAGTCACTGCAGGGATCTTTTCTGCTGCCTCTATTAGTGCCTTCCCTTTTTGCATTGAGTTTCAATGTTTATTTATCAAGTCTCCCTGACCAGATCAATTTTTAATCTTGTGCCAGTAAAAGTGTGTCACTCACACTCTTATGGCACAAAGGGGGGATTATTGTGGAAAGAATCCAGAGAAAGTAATATTTTGGGGAATATTAAAAAGGCAGAATATATTTCCCCAAAGGAATAATGGAGAATATCTTTAAAAAGACAGAAACCAGCCCCCAGAAACCAGCCCCAGCCCCTCTCCCCCAAGCAGAAACTAGGCAGAGGCCAGCTTTTAGAAATGCAGATGTAATAATCCATTCAGGAAGGTTGGAGCCAGGAAGCTATTATGAAGACAAAGACACCTAAAATTTACATACGCCCACCAAAATTCTAAGGACAAGAGACATAACAGACTTAACCCACCAAAAGGACACACTCAGACTCAGGTCAAAGTACATGACACAGGAAATACAAAACCTCAAACAGGAACAGGGAAAAACCTCAAGAGCCCCAGAAGGTATAAAAGCCCACTGCTCTCTGCATGTGGTCAGTTTTTTCAGAGTTATCTTTCTGTCTGGCTCTCCTCTTCAATAAACTACAACCTTCTTTCTGATTATTCTGATTATTCCCAGCTTGGACTGGACCCTGGTGAAGATTGTTCCTTCAACAGTATAATGAAGTAAGGCCAGATTTTTTTTCATATACTTCATACATTTCAATCAAAATAGCATATTGCAAAAGATTGAATGAAGAAACAGGTATGAGAATCCAGCTGTCTTCTATTAAGCCAGAGATTTGCAAAAATGTAAAACTTTTTTTTTATTTTGAAAAATATAATTATTTTTCATTTAAAATATGTTATTTATATTAACATGTAATGGGTTTATTGTTATGTTAAAATGAATACTTTTTTAAAAATTACTCAATTTTAATTTCTAATTTGGTATTTATCAATAGACATAGCCCACAGAAACAAAAATTTTTTGAGGTTCCCAATAATTTTTAAGAATATAAAGGAGTCCTGAAGCCAAAAGATTTGAGGCCTAGGCTGCCTTATTATTCCTGTAGTTCCTATATTAGGGTTTGCTTGCTGAGGCTGACTAGACCTAAAAGGCCTAGTATGAAGTGTACAGTGGAAATTTTTCCTACTGGGAATAACTACCTCACCTTCACCAGAAAGATTCCTGGGTGTTCTTTACTGCCCAACCTCTTTGAATCACAGAACTGTGGAATTAGACCACAAGGATTATCTAATCCTATTCTCATCAATGCACAGGAAAATCAATTAAACTGATTATGTGCCATCAAATCATTTTCAGTTCTTAGGGAGCACATAGATAGCTTTTCTCCAAGATGATCTGTCCCTAACTTGTTTTTTCAAGTCTCCTAACAATTGCACATATAGCTACTGTAAGAGAATCCATCCACCTTGCTACAGGTCATCCTCTTCTCTTCTCTCTTTTCTTCCATCTTTCCCAGAGAGGTGGGAATTTGAACCTGGCCATTTGTGCCTTATGTGAGAACTCTGGGTTGATTTGTTTGACGATCCATTGGCTTGTTTTCTGACTATCCAAGTATTTGCAGGAGTCTTCTCCAACACCAATGAACTCAAGGTGTCAATACAATGTACAAGAAAACCAATAAAACTACCTTCTTTTCTGGAACTGGAGAACAACAACCTACTTAGGCAGACTTTTCTATGATTTTACAGATGTTACCAGCAGCATATTTTTCAGCATGCTGCAACTTTTTTCCAATTTGGGGGGCTAGTCTCTGTGACAATGGAAAATAGTTCCTAGCCATCTTTTTGTTATTCATGAAAAGCCTGCATGAAACAGGATTAATCTTGATAAGGAACAACAAAGCAGAACAGTATAAGCAACAGAATACTAGAAGACAGATGAAAATTTCAAAGTATATTTAAATACTACACACAATTTTATTAAAGTGTTGTACCTAGTTTTTAATCTGTAAATGTTCTAATAGTATGGGCCTAACATTGTCATGTGTGTTAATTTTTGTATTAAAAAAATCTATACTCACGCGTAAGAAAAATGGAAACTTCTTCCCATAAAATCCAATTCTGAAAAACTCAGGCTCCAAACGTTGCTGATCCATAATTTTATCATATAAAGAAGCTTCCATCAACTATGTGGATTTAGATAAATAAACAAATGAAAAAGAAGGACATTTTGTGTATTTTTTTCTGTACTAATCAAAAAAGCAAAACAAAAAATATCATTCAACTTGATTTCCTACAGATATCAAAAAATGATTTCAGTCCAATGGTACTAAAAATGGTACTAGAGAGTTTTAGATTTATTAAAAGAAACAGCATTTGTTTGGCTCCTGCTTCACTTTTTTCTCTTTTGATTTGTACTATGGTGTTGTACGGATTCAAAGGTTCAGCTGAAGTACTCCTTCAAAGCTATTTCACAAAGTGCTATGGCATAACAGCAAAGTGTTACTTTGTGATGCAAAGTGTTACATCATGTTACTTTAACTTTATTTTGCTTTGCACAGCTACAGGAAATATTAAGGAAGTGCTGACCTACTCCAGACTGTTTGCCAAAAGGTTTAGTGCAGGGCTTTTCAACCTTTTTACCAATTGTACCACTTTTAGGATATGGCAATATTCAAGTACCACCTAGCAAGGTGTCAAAAACTTGATGACCAAAAAAAAAAAAACTGTTCAAAGTTGCAATTGCACTGAAATGACTTATGACCATTTTTCACACTTATGACCATTGCAGCATGCCCAGGGTCATGTGATTTATATTTGGATGCTTGGCAACTGATTCATATTTATAATGGTCACAGTGTTCCAGGGTCATGTGATCCCCTTCTGCAACCTTTTGACAAGCAAAGTCAATGGCAGAGCTGTTGGTGGCCAAGTGCTAAGGCAGGACTTCCTTTCCTCCCTCCCTTCCCTGCCTCCCTTTTTCTCATTCCCATCTCCTTCTGAAGGAAGAATTTGACCCCCCTTATTTTCCCTCTTCCATATATTGATCAAACAAGGAAAGGCCTCCAGAGACAGAAAAGACAAGCTGCTGAGTGAACTAGCTTAAAAAGGCACATTCCCCTTCAAGAATTAGCTACTGGCTAGAAAGGAAAGTAAGGAGCGCAGCCAGCATTTAAGGAAGAAAAAAAAATGTAAGTACTGGGTTCCGGCTAAGCTAAGACAACCTTGCTTGTCAAAAGGTTGCAGAAGGGAATCACATGACCCTGGAACACTGTGACCATTATAACTATGAATCAGTTGCCAAGCATCCAAATATAAATCATATGACCCTGGGCATGCTGCAATGGTCATAAGTGTGAAAAATGGTCATAAGTCATTTCAGTGCAATTGCAACTTTGAACAGGTTTTTTTTTTTTTGGTCATCAAGTTTTTGACACCTTGCTAGGTGGTACTCGAATACTGCCATATCCTAAAAGTGGTACAATCGGTAAAAAGGTTGAAAAGCCCTGGTCTAGACCTCAGATTTCCTAGCTCTAAAGTCACTGGTTATCAGATAACTTGTGTATAAAGACAGGAGCCCAGTAAGATGCTGCTCAGTTGCCTGTAGATTGTATAGCAAACCACCTTGCCTCTGAAGATGCCAGCCATCAGAATTTTTGTTAACGAGACAACAGTTGCTAAATCCTGAAGCCCAACACTGCCCAACAGATATCAGCCATGAAAGCCTACACCCATATAATCCTAGATTCACTTGCACAAACCTAGTTTGTTTATTCATTATATTTTTAAAACCACCCAATAGCTGAAACTCATAAAATAAATACTCATAGATACTATATCTTAAAACAAAAGTCACTATTACATTCTTAGTTTCAATCACAGAAGATGAATAAATTTTATATCTCTATTTGATTATCAATATCTGATTCAGCTGGAACCGACAACCCAAAATTAATAAGATAGACACATTGGGCATCACACAATATTTTTGCCTTTTTTAGGTTGTTATTGTTCTTTTTATCTACTTTTGCTTTAAGGGATTATCTTAAATTCAGGGCTGTGGGTAAAAATGTAGTCTAATTGTGAAAGACTGTACTGTGTGAATAATATTTATATGTAAGAAATCCAATTTCATTACCCGCATCTTGCTGAGATTTCTGTAGTCATAATAGTTTTCATATTGCTCAGCAATCTTCCTGCATAAAATAATACCATTTTCCCAGCACTGTAGACAAATAAGAAAGAGAAATTTTCACCAGAGAGAAAAATCTGAAGGTTTTTATCTGTTTCAAACAAATTTTCAGTTGTCTCCTGTTAGCAGTTCAATATCTACCTTAACAATCACTAATATTATCCCAAAGGAAGATGACAGCTGCTTATGAAAATTGATGACACATTAAATATGATTAAATTTCACTCACAGATGCTTAGAACAACTGACTTTTCATGCACTAGACTGTCTCATTCATGTACTACTGAATACCATTGGCAGAACTGTGCACATAGCCTTATTCAAATATCTGGTATATGTAGCATACAGGAGAGTCAGAAGATACCACTAATGCTGGTTTAAATCACTTTGCTCCCTATTAGGGCCAAAATTTTAATACACTTTGATTAGTATTTGCAACATGCTGTGTCAACTGCTCTGTCTACATTAGGTTATTAAAATACACATGCTTAAGCAGGGGAGTATAGGCTATGTCCATATGATCAATATTTCTCACAAGACCCAATTCACTGCAAGGACAGAGTAATTCAATTCTCCTTTACATATAGGTTTTTTAAAAAAGATATTCATTTTAAAACATCCCAAACAGAGTTTAATGTAAAAAATAATATTTTTCTAAAGAGCATACTACCATTATAGAGGAATCACTTCTACAGTACAAAGAATCTCAAGATCCATCTCACTCTCTATGCATCAGTGCGACTGTTAGGGAAGCATTACATAAAACTGCACAATGATCCAAGAACTGGGAACAGCTGACACAGAAGACTAAGTGTTAGCAGGAAATGGGCAGGGAGCAGGGCAAATGACATTGCATGCATCATGACATTGTACAAATATATAATAATAAAGTTGGAAGGGACCCTAGATGACCTCCAAGGTCCCTTCCAACTTTATTATTACTATTATTATTATATTTGAGTCATGTGATGCAAGTCTATAACTCACTTATTTGCAAAAGGATGGTGTCATGTTGATGTCATTGTGGCTTCTACCAGATCCCTATGCATGGAAAACCATATATGAAACTGGTATTCATTTATCAAGATATTTGTAATAAAGCCTCTACTTATCTACCTATCTCTTCCACGGAAAGAGGGAGGAAGGAAAACAAAATCAAAGATATGGTCCCACAATCTCTTTCTTATCCTTCATACTGAAAGAGGCCAGAGCCTGGCAATTAACTGTACATTTTATAAAACAAAACTAGATCCCAAGAAAAGGCTTTTAGTTACAAAAGGTGTAGGAATAACCACAGGGCTTTTCAAAAAATCTTACTATGAATTGCTTCTATAAACTGTTCAGTTTCCAAAGTAATTCCAAATTAAATTGCACATACTGGCATCAGTTATGTACAAGCCCAAACCCCTTGTAGAAATAATGTGTGATTCCTTCAATCCCCATTCATCAAGAGCTTAGAATATAGCAGAAATTAAACAACCAATAAAAATATATTAAATCCATAATCAAAATTTTATATTTTAGCATCACAATTGGAGCTCACAAGCTTTTTAGCTAAGATAGTCAAACCTAAAATATACTTGGTTTTTATTGATGTAGACCAGGGGTGTCAAACTCACAATGTCACATGGTGTGTCGCGACGTATTGTGACTTTTTTGCCATTGCCAGCAATGGGGTGGGCGTGGTTTTGCCATGACGCATCCGGACCGCGGATCAGCAGTTTGACACCCCTGATGTAGACCCTGTCATTTTAAGATTATCATAGAATTTAAAAATATATAATTCAGCTCATAAATCAGTACAACAGGGCACAGTAGGTACAAATACAGGTAGTCCTTTAGTTACAAGTGTAATAGAGCCTGCCCATTCCACTCGTAACTCAAAAACTCGTAGCAGTGAATCTCGTACCTCGAACGAGACCACTCCCTTGCTCTTTAAGACACACATGGCTCGTTAAAGTGAACATGAAGTATTTCAGGGTGGAGAAGGCAATGGAGGGCCTAGTGATGGAACAGGCCCCCGAGGCCTTTCTGACCCACTATGTTGCCTCATGCTTTCCCCTCCCTTCCTGCCATGCCGGACTTATCTGGAAAAGATCGATCTCCTCTCTGCCACAGTTCCTGCTGCTGCTTGAATCTGAGGCTGGGGGATGCTTCTATGGCCCTCCAACAGCCCGATCCAGGCACTGGACACCTTTTCCAGGCCACTGCCGCCCAGATCAGATGCCAGGGGATGCTTCTGCGGCCCTCTGGCGGCCCGATCCTGGCACCAGAGGCCTTTTCCAGGCTGCTACCGCCTGGAAACGGGCCACAGGAGGGCTGTGGAAGCATTCCCCCGGCCTCAGATCTGGGTGGCAGCGGCCTGGAGGTGTCCGGCATCCAGATTGGGCCGCCAGAGGGCCATGGAATTGTCCCCTGGTTTCGGTTCCATTCTCTGTTGCAGCGAACAGAGGCTTAAAGTACCATGAGATCATGCAAGATCAGTAGTGTGAGATCTCGCCCCACTGATCTCATGTGATCTTGTGTTACTTTAGGCCTCCATTCTCTGCAAATGCACCGAAGGTCTGGAGCAGCCAAGAAAGCGAAGGATCTCAATCTTCGCAGGGTGAGTATTGAAGGCCTGGTGCCTAGGGAGACCCAGGGTGGGGGTGGGGAGAGAGGGAATAACCAGGATGAATATTGCAGTGCCATATAAGGGTGTTGCTGCAATATTCATAATTTCAGGACTTGCTGCTAAGCATTAGGGGATGCTTATCACGTAACTTCGAACAAGCGTTAAGCGAACGCTCATAACTCGGGGATTACCTCTATTGCAGGGATGTCAAACTCAATTTCATTGAGGGCCATATCAGCATTGTGGTTGCCCTTTGGGGCCAGGTGGGTGTGGCTGGAGTGGGTGTGGTCTACGGGGTGGGCGTGACCAGCTCGATATCACTAGCTTCAGGGGTGCCTGGGCAGGACTGGGGCAGATCTGAGGGTCTCCAGCGGAGGAGGATGGGAATGGGGCGAGCGCTGGGACATGGACCCTCCCACCCTACCTCCCTTCCTCTGTTCCTTCCTTCTTCCCTCCCCCCTCCATTCCTTCCTCCCTCTCTTCCTTCCTTCCTTCCTTCCTTCCTTCCTTCCTTCCTTCCTTCCTTCCTCTGTTCCTTCCTTCTTCCCTCCCACCCTCCATTCCTTCCTCCCTGTTCCTTCCTTCCTCCCTTTTTCCCTCCCTCCCTCCCTCCCTTCCTCCCTCCTTCCTACCCACCTTTCCTTCCTTCCTTCCTCCCTCGTTCTTTCCTTCGCCTTCTCATCTTTTTCCTTCCCTGCGCTCAGGAAGGGGTGATGGGAGGGGGAGAGATTGCCAGCACTAATACGCTGCTGCCAGCCATTCCTATACCATGTGGGTTGAAAGGGATGCCTCATGGCTTCGAGGCTAGAGGTGCTGGTGTGTGTGTGGGGGTGCTGATCTACAACCTGGTTGCGTGCATCAAATCCAGAACGCGCTCAGCCTAAGATCCACTGGAACCAGCAAGGAGCTGCCTCGCCACCTCTGCCCCGCCACCCGGGTGTGTGCACAGGAGACGGCCAGCGCCGGCGTCCTAGGTGAAGTCAGCCTGCGGGACAAGACAGCCAGCAGGGATGCCAGACTCCGCTTGTGTGCGCACCCAGGGGACAGGGCAGGGCTGTAACGTGGATTTAACACTGAGCGTGTTCTGGCTTTGATGGAGGCAACCAGGTTGTAGATCAATGCCCGGTCGGCCTGGGCCGGGCCAAGGTGCAGCGGGCCGGTCCTTCGCTCTTTCCAGACCAGGTCCCCGGGCCGGATGGTCCGCGGGCAACATCCGGCCCACGGGCCTTGTGTTTGACATGTCTGCTCTATTGGATCAAAGATGAATCATCCTTGTTTTAAAAAACAATATTACAATCTGAACTATTTGAACCTATCTGAAAGATATATATTAAATGAAATATGTGTATGGGTTACAGGTTGAAATTTTCCCTAAACAGCCAATTTCAGATTTCATACTGTATGAGTATGTGCAATTTAATTTGCATATCAAATATGATGTACCTCAAAAAATAGATGGCAAGCAATATTAATAATTAATTGTTCAAACAAGGCAGTCGCAAATAAGAAAAATAGCAACCAAAACTCTCTTACTTTTCCTCTGTCAAAATTCTGGATGATCGTGAGATGAAGAAATTCTTTGCGCTGCCATTCTGTCTGCATGGGATAGTTCAGGAATTCCCGCAATGGTCTGTCGGACCATTCCAACAGTTCATCATACAGTAAGAGTGTATAGGCAGCCTCTGTCGAGTTGCACAAATAAACATGAAACAATTTTAATATATATACAGTAACAGAAAAATATATATTCCAGAAACAATTGATATATTACTAAATAATTTGCTCCTTGATCTTAAGACTGCAACTGCATTTAGATGTCAGGATAAAATAATGAGAATGAAACAAGCTTTGCCTATTCATGTTTCTCTCCTTTTCTTCTTTTCTGCAGGAGACCAGATGCTTTTGCTTCTGATTTTATTTAACTGTTATTTAGTAATACAAACACTAAATTATTGTTAATCTTGACAATGGATTATAGAACCAGAACAATTTCATGAACTACTGTTTTAAGACAGCTTGTTTCAGATAAATTATAGTTAAGCTTAGCCATATTTTGCAGAGCTTGAGTAACAGTCAATCAAAAGTAGAATTTCTGAACTACAACTCAAAATAGGGATAGCAGGAAGAGAGAGAGAATGGGTGAGGAAGGTGGATGGTTAAAAAGTTTGATAAATAAATAAATATGAATAAATAAAATAAATAAATAAATTAAATATAATATGCTAAATGCAGGTGGAGGTTAGTGTAATGGAATATAGGTCAGAGTTGCAAAAGGGAGGGCTCTTTCGAAGGAAGCAAAGAGACAAAAAAGCTTGGAATCTTTGATATGTAGAAAGGTGGAATCCTCCTAGCATTACACAGGGTATATCTAATAGTTATGCACATAGGTGCTTTAGTCTGGCGAGGTTTGTTTCTGTAGGCGAGCAACAACAAGGAAACTACTCAGAAGTCACTTCTTGTGTCATTCTTGGTTCCTTGGTTCCTAACAGGTAGACTCATTTTTTCCCCAATAAATTATTCTTTTCTGAGATAGTTGAAGGCAACATTCATATTTACATATTTTGCAGTAAGGATTCTTAACAGTAATGTTATAACCATCATTTACAAATCATTTACTCTTCTGGGATGGCATCACATGGCCTCCACTGTATAGGGAGGTCAAGGAGCATAGCAAAGAACCAGAGACTACATTTGGGAAGGAGAGCTGGCCGCTCCACCCCTCAGCCTCCCTATATAGTGGCATCCATGTGGCACCATCCAAGAAGTGGGTGTTATTTCTGAGCAGCCACAATTCATTGCTACTGCTTTCAAAACTGGCACTCATTTCCAGGATAGCACCACATGGTGTCTGTGTAGGAAGGCCTTGCAGTAGAAAGGCTGCTTCTTGAAGGAGATCTACTGAAAAGTGGGAGGTGCTGCAAATGCAGGCCTGGGCCAGCACAAGGCCTCCTAAGGTTTTCCCCATTCTGAGGCACCCATGCTCTGCTTAACAACCACAATGTGGGGAAGAGGGATTGGAGTTATTAAGCAAGGCTATTACCATAACTTGCAAACATAATGGGCAGGCTCCATTACAGTCATAAGGACAACCTGTATCATAATGGCTTACAGTATCCATTGGTTGGTCTTATCCAACCAACTTATTTTGGTACCTGAAGAATAAAATGTGCTTCTCCCACTTCCTGAGATTAAAAATAGAATAATACATTATCATCCCACTTTTCTAATAACGAGATCTAGGTAATATACATTTAGAATATTTCCAAAAATATTTTGTCCAGGTTATATGAAAAAAATATTTACCTGTAAAGTTTTGTGCTTTTAGGTGCAGATCATATAGTTTATGTATGTACCTAATATACATCTCTTCTTTATTCAGTTCTGTTTTATAGAAATTCTGGAACCAAAGGAAATTATGAATACCATTACAACAGATAATATAACTATATTCTACAAATCACTCAGCTCTCTGTCTTGAAAATGATGTGAATGTTTTGTTCACAAATCTTAAGCAATTGTTTTATATTTTAAAAATTAAATAAAAAAGAAAGGGATACATTGTATGACTGACATGTACAAAACACATTAAACTCAGAAAGTGAATAAAAATGCATGTTTAAAAATTTCAGACGTTTTATCTAAATCCTAACTGATAAATAGGCTACTTTCCTAAGCTTAGGCATTACAACATATTCACACAAACTAGAAACATGCTAATGATATTATCAGAAGTAGTGGAGCTGCTGTTTGCTTGTTTTTCTTCCTTACTTGTCAGCATTTTTAAAGTGTATCAATCGGAACAGAATAGCCTAGGGAAGGAAGGGAAAAAACCCTGGCTATTTGAATGAGAGGTCAAGGACAGATTGTTAGATGCCTCCTCTCCCTTAACCATCTTTTTAAAAGCAAAAATAATATTTTTGTTCCAAAAAGATCTGCCAAATGTGATATTAATGATTGGGAATTCAGGGGACTGAACACTTTGTCAAGCTTTTTGACAATTTTACTGCAGTAAGGGACTAAAGCTAATGTTCCAGTTTTAAAAAATTTGAATGCTCTTGCAATAAACAACCTATATAGATTTTTGGGAATTTATGTTGTTTAATTATTTGAATAACGAAGCATATGTTAAAAGTGTGTGACATAGAAAGATCAGCGTATGACTATGCCTACCAAAAGAACTTTTGTTGATATTAGAAACAGGTACCGGTATATCTTGTGTGATGGTGATGGGATTTATTCCTATCTCTCTACTAGATATAACTTTTATATTTGTCCTAGCAAGGATTTTTCAAAAGAGTCATATTGTAACTAGGAATGAAATCTCCTACTTGTGGATTTTTCTAGTACTATTTCCTTTGTGTGTTTTGCATTCTGGATTAGAAGCACACTTATAACTAATTCACATATGCATGCATACCAACTAATGACTGAAATCTATGTTTTTTCTATCATCACTTAAAGACTGCATAACAATGATTTGCATATATGAATGAGACATCATAGAAAAATATATTTCTAAACAAAGTGCTACACATAACTAAATTAAAACTTTGAGCATTATAGCCTTGACTCAATTTCTGTCCATTACAAATAGCTATTTTAAATAATAATGCTATTTTTAGATAGGGAATTGTGCTAAAATTATATGTAAAAAAATCTTGAAGCCAAACTTTGTCTTTTTGAACTGAGCTGTGTAAAGAAGTGATAGAAATAAAGGAAATGTCTTAAAACTGTAAGAGAAAATAACTGTAAGAGGAAGTAGCTGCAAAAGGAAATAGCTAGCTGAAAGCTAAAAGAATTGGATAACAGGAAAACTAGCTGTATTGGATAATAGGAAAGGCAAGCCTAAAATTGAAAAACAGGAAAGAATCTACTGTTCTAAGAAGCCATAAAATATCCCAGAACTCAAAACAGACAGCTCAGCATACCTAATATCTTATTGAATATTATTTGACACACCTTACATATCTTACCTCCTAATTTTAATGTACATGTGATGTATGATTTTGTATGTAGCAAGAAATATGTAGGAGGCAGTCGGGAAAAGTGTAACTTCATAGTACCTCAGCCAATGGAGAACAAGGAGGGATGTGGCAGCCGGGACAGAGTTATATAAAGAAGAGAATATTTTGGGTTGGAACTTTGGAGAGAACCAAGTTTTGATAGCTTCTCTCCCCATTTGTTGAAATAAATGAAACAAAAGGCTTTGTCTGTGCCTTGGCTGGTTATTGGTCAGGCGAGCTTGCCACTGGTTCCAAAGAAAAGTAGCAGGAGCACATAACAGAAGGAAATGTAGAAATGTGATTATAAAAGTCGACCATTAGATTTAAAGTCAAATAGAATTGTGCATTGAAATCTTATTTGTCCCTGTGATCATTCCAAAGATATTATTCTGACTTTCCCATCACTTCAGCCTGTAATATTTACAGAAAATCCACTTCCACACAGGATCCCTGTGGGCCACAAGCATCGCTGCAATGCATCAAAAATATTCTTGTTGATAGTCAGAAAAGACTACATTAAACAATGTAGGTTAAATAGAACTGCAGAAGAATACTGCAAGCTAAAACTAGCATTTTTACCTTTTAATTTCATGAGCTGAAATACTGGAATTGTCTTTCAAGGGAATAGGCAGAATTGTAAGTCATGCCTATGTTCTTCTACATCAGAAATCTAAGGTAAAATATTTACCAAATGCTGAGTCCATATTGAAAAGAGTAATGAAAGAAAAGAACAGTGGGAGTCCATGCCTTAGATAAAATAAAAATAGCCTGCAATTAAAATGTCACCAAGGATTCAGACTCTGGCAAGCTCTTGCTGTTAACAGCTATTTGGTTCTTGAAATAAATGGCACAAGTTTGGATGTTTCTAGTCTCTTCTTTTTTTCCTTTAAGAACAAAGGCATTCCAGTTTAGCCACAGGATTTATGGGCTTCCGGCAATCAAATAGCTCTTAGCATAGGTTGGTCACAAGGACATTGGTAGAACAATGGCTATTTTTATATATTTAGATGAGGTTTGACACATTCTAAAAATCTTCCTCGTATCTAGTTAAAATAAGGACAACTGATTTCAGTTGGGCTTATTTCCATGTAAATTTGTATATTACACATTTATAAGTTTTAAAATATTTGTTAGTTTCCAATCTAAAGTTGGTTGATATTACAGCAAGACCCCTCTCCTAAATGACATATACCCTGGCCTGTTACCTCTCATTATGATACCAATATGACAACTGATAATCCCATGTACTTGAATAATCTAAAAACTATTACTGTTTCACTATTGTATGTTTGGCAGGTAAATAAAATATGATATTTTAATTTCTTGAACTTGGTATTGTTTATTCTTAGGATTGCTTTTGTGTATTTTTAATATAGTATCATATCCTATAAACTTTTACATTTAGTGGCAGAACCCAACAAAGCACAAAACCCAACAAAATGTTCATCCAGACCACAAACATTTCATCAAACATTATCAGCCTCAGCCACAACAGTGACTTAAAATAACTTACATAGAATTAAATATAGTACATCACATTAATTAAATTAAATTATCTAACTAAATTGAATTTAGTAAATAAGAAGCGTCTCAATAACAGTATACCTGATATATTTAAGGGAGAATGTGATATATAGTGAGGGGAAAAATTATTTGATCCCCTGCTGATTTTGTATGTTTGCCCACTGACAAAGAAATGATCAGTCTATAATTTTAATGGTAGGGTTATTTTAACAGTGAGAGATAGAATAAGAACAAAAAAATCCAGAAAAAAGTTATAAATTGATTTGCATTTTAATGAGTGAAATAACTATTTGTTCCCTTATCAATCAGCAAGATTTCTGGCTCCCAGGTATCTTTTATACAGGTAATGAGCTGAGATTAGGAGCACTCTCTTAAAGGGAGTGTTCTTAATCTCAGCTTGCTACCTGTATAAAAACACCTGTCCACAGAACCAATCAATCAATCAATCAGATTCCAAACTCTTCACCATGGCCAAGACCAAAAAGCTGTCCAAGGATGTCAAGGACAAGATTATAGACCTACACAAGGCTGGAATGGACTACAAGACTATCGCCAAGCAGCTTGGTGAGAAGGTGACAACATTTGGTGCAGTTATTTGCAAATGGAAGAAACACAAAATAACTGTCAATCTCCCTCAGTCTGAGGCTCCATGCAAGATCTCACCTCGTGGAGTTTCAACAATCATGAGAATGGTGAGAAATCAGCCCAGAACTACACAGGACAATCTTGTCAATGATCTCAAGGCAGCTGGGACCATAGTCACCAAGAAAACAATTGGTAACACACTATGCCGAGAAGGACTAAAATCCTGCAGCGCCTGCAAGGTCCCCCTGCTCAAAAAAGCACATGTACAGGCCCATCTGAAGTTTGCCAATGAACATCTGAATGATTCAGAGGAGAACTGTGTGAAAGTGTTGTGGTCAGGTGAGACCAAAATCGAGCTCTTTGGCATCAACTCAACTCGCTGTGTTAGGAGCAGGAATGCTGCCTATGACCATAAGAACACCTTCCCCACTGTCAAACATGAAGGTGGTAACATTATGCTTTGGGGGTGTTTTTCTGCTAAGGGGACAGGACAACTTCACCACATCAAAGGGACGATGGACGGGGTCATGTACCATCAAATCTTAGGTGAGAACCTCCTTCCCTCAGCCAGGGTATTGAAAATGGGTCGTGGATGGATATTCCAGCATGGCAATGACCCAAAACACACAGCCAAGGCAACAAAGGAGTGGCTGAAGAAGAAGTACATTAAGGCCGTGGAGTGGCCTAGCCTGTCTCCAGACCTTAATCCCATAGAAAATCTGTGGAGGGAGCTGAAGGTTCGAGCTGCCAAACGTCAGCCTCAAAACCTTAATGACTTGGAGAGGATCTGCAAACAGGAGTGGGACAAAATCCCTCCTGAGATGTGTTGAAACCTGGTGGCCAGCTACAAGAAACGTCTAATCTATGTGATTGCCAAAAAGGGTTTTGCCACCAAGTACTAAGTCATAGGGGGTACCTTGCTCAATAGTAGTAACTGTGAGAGGGATCTCGGAGTCCTAGTGGACAATCATTTAAATATGAGCCAGCAGTGTGCTTCAGCTGCCAAAAAAGCCAACACAGTGCTAGGCTGCATTAACAGAGGAATAGAATCAAGATCACGTGAAGTATTAATACCACTTTACAATGCCTTCATAAGGCCACACTTGGAATACTGCATCCAGTTTTGGTCACCACGATGTAAAAAAGATGTTGAGACTCTAGAAAGAGTACAGAGAAGAGCAACAAAGATGATTAGGGGACTGGAGGCTAAAACATATAAGGAACGGTTGCTGGAATTGGGTATGTCTAGTTTAACAAAGAGAAGGACGAGGGGGGACATGATAGCAGTGTTNTTATTATTATTATTATTATTATTATTATTATTATTATTATTATTATTATTATTATTATTATTATTATGTTTTGTGAAGGGGTCAAATACTTATTTCACTCATTAAAATCCAAATTAATTTATAACTTTTTTGAAATGCATTTTTCTGGATTTTTTTTTGTTATTCTGTCTCTCACTGTTAAAATAAATCTACCATTATGGGTTTACTGCAATTTATTATAAAAAATTATCTGAAGAAATGTTAGAACCCTTGAGATGTCTTTTTAATGATATTTTAATGGGAGGACAAATACCACCATCTTGGAGGTGTGCATTTATTTCACTTATACCAAAGGAGGATCAAGATATGACTCAGCCTAAAAACTATAGGCCAATATCTTTACTGAATACGGATTATAAGATTTTTGCAAAAATATTAGCTAATAGACTAATGCAAGTATTGAAACAGATTATTCATGTGGATCAATCTGGATTTATAAATGGAAAATATATGAAGAATAATGTTAGACAAATTGTGAATTTGTTGGAGTACTTGGATAAAAATAATCAAATCCCGGCGGCCCTTATCTTTTTGGATGCTGAAAAGGCCTTTGATAAGTTGGACTGGCAATTCCTGCTACGGTTGGTTGATAGAATGAATTTTGGGGACAGATTTTCGTCAGCGTTAAAGGCTATCTATCAACTACAGTCTGCTCAAGTGATAGTAAATGGAGGTTTGACAGACTCAATTAAAATTGAAAAAGGTACAAGGCAAGGCTATCCACTATCACCGTTACTGTTTATCCTGACTTTGGAGATTTTATTAATTAAGATTCGTGAGTCTTCACTTATAAAAGGAATAACTTTGGGTAACAATGACTATAAGCTTAGAGCTTTTGCTGATGATTTGGTTTTTACTTTGTCGCAACCAATTGATTCGGCAAGAAATTTGATACAGATATTGACGCTATATGGGAAGGTGTCTGGATTTAAAGTAAATAATAATAAGACTAAAATATTATCTAAAAATATGTTTATGAAAGATATAGAAATTTTAAGTAATGTAACTGGTTTTGAAATACTGGAAAAAGTGAAATATTTGGGTGTTGATATTACTGCTTCTAATGCTAAATTGTATAAAAATAATTATGACAAGTTATGGAGCAAAGTTCAAAAGGATTTGATGGAGTGGAAGAAATTACAGTTCTCATTATTGGGAAGAATTGCAGTGATAAAAATGAATGTTCTCCCAAAGTTTCTTTTTTTGTTCCAGATGATACCTATTTTAAAAAAGGATTCAAATTTGGAGGAGTGGCAAAGAGGCATCAACAGGTTTATCTGGCAGGGGGAAAAACCTAGGGTAAAATTTAAAATTTTGCAAGATGCACGGGAAAGAGGGGAACTTAAAGCCCCTAATTTAAAATTATATTATGAAGCAGTGGTTTTAACTTGGATTAGTGATTGGATTAATTTAACTAATAGAGATATTTTGATACTTGAAGGTTGGGATTTATATTATGGATGGCATGCTTACTTATTTTTTGATAACAAAATTGATCGTGTTTTTAAATCTCATATTTTGAGAGTTGCACTTTTGAGAGTTTGGAAAAAGAATTCTTATAAGGTAAATTTAAAAATCCCAATGTGGGCTATTCCAGAACATGCAATACAAGGAATTATAAGAGGTGTAAAATTAGAAGGAATTGTTTACAAAGATCTACTCATGTTAAGAGGACAGGACTGGCAAATTAAATCACTGGATGAGTTAAGACAGGATAATGTACTCCAGTCCTGGTTTTTATATTTCCAATTGGTTGAGAGATGGCATATAGATCAAAAATTGGGTTTAACTGTAGAAGATGTGAACTTGATAAAACAGATTAAAGATCAAAGTAGAGCCCATATTAGGAGAATATATAGTGTTTTGATAGAACTTGATTCGGAAACAGAATTAGTTAAAGATTGTATGATTAAATGGGCTCAAAATATTCAAGAACCAATAAAGTTAGAAGCTTGGGAAATAATTTGGGTAAGAAATGTCAAGTTCACCCAAGCACAGAATCTAAGGGAAAATTTTTATAAAATGTTTTATAGATGGCATTTGGATCCTCAAAAATTGTCTTGCATGTATCCGAATTTGCAACCAAAATGTTGGAGATGTGATTGTATGGATGCTACTTATTATCATATTTGGTGGACATGTAGGGATGTTAAAGCCTTTTGGATTAAGATTTGGTGGAATATTCAACAGATCTTTAAGAAAAAGATAAAATTTACACCGCAGTTATTTTTATTGGGTATCATGGACAATTTGGATCAAAAAGAAATGAAATTGATGTTGTACTGTATAACAGCAGCAAGGACATTAGTTGCTCAAAATTGGAAAAAAAAGACGTTACCAACTATGGATGATTGGAGACAGAAGGTATCGTATTTTGCAGAGATGGCAAAAATATCCACGTACCTGAAGGATCATTTTCAGGAGAAATTTATCTCAATGTGGAGAAGATGGATAGATTATATTCAGAGAAAGTATGAATTGAATAATTATCATGTAGCTTTTGATTAAAAATTTTAAATAAAAATATGTACAACGAATATTGACATATTTAAAAAAATTTGTATGTATTTTAACGTTCTTTTAGAGTCACAGTAAGTTTATACTAGTGTGTAGTAATAACGAGTAGTTTTGAATAGAATTGGATTATTGTGCGTTTATTTCCTGGATTAGCTCTGGGAAGTCCTGGGGGGGGAGGGGGGAAAGGGATAGGTGTCAATAGGTTTGTATTGTAGATTCACATGTATATGTATATATATGTATGATTTTTTAAGGAGGTGTCCGGTGGGTACCCCAACTGCACCAGACGGGATGGTCGAGAGAGGAAGGGAGGTAGGAAAGAGGGAGGAAGGAGGAGAGGTTGTAGGACTGGGAGGAGGAAGGTGTGGTAAGTGAAAGAGGGGGGTGCAGGGGGGGGACACCGGACACGTCCGTGAATGTATTGATTAGTGTTTCTTGGTTGATATTGTGATAAAAGATTTATGTTTTTGTTTTTAAATGAAAAATCAATAAAAATGTTAAATAAAATAAATAAATAAATAAATCTACCATTAAAATTATAGACTGATCATTTTTTTTAGCAGTGGACAAACGTACAAAATCAGCAGGCGATCAAATATTTTTCTCTCTCACTGTAGCAGTTAGTATTGAAGTACTGTAGAACTAGGATTGGATTGGGAAAAGCAGATTCAGATCCTAGCAGGGCCATGAAGCTCTCTGAAAGATGGTAAATTTGGCTAGTAGAATAATCTCTGTTCTCATTTTCATCCTTTAGAAAAGTCTAGTAGATTATACTAAGCTCTTACCTATCCCTTTATTCCTAGATTTACACTTCCCCCCCCCCTGCATACTTCCAAAGACATTGACTAGGTAACTATCAATATATATTCACTATAGCATAAATATTTCAATATTTTATAATAGGCTTTGTATTTATTGCTGCACATCACTCGTGCAGTAGAATTTGCACTTCTAACCTTTCTGGAAAATAGGCTGTTAAAGAATAAGCTTCTCATATTTTTAATATGAAATAGCAAAATATCCAGAATCAAAGAGATACACACCAACAAACTGACAGTACATCCAATCTTTTTGCCATCCACTTCTCCCATTTTCATGCAGTCCCTGGACAAGGGAAAAACATTTGAATGAAAAATTATGCAGAAAATCTAGTTTTGCACATCAGTTTAAATAATCTATCAAGATAAATTTTATTAAAAGATTCATACACATTACAGATTCAAGTATATGTTCATACCATGAAATGCAAAATGAATTTAAAAACTAAAGGAATATATAGCTGCATTGTTTTCTCATGCAGTCTTTCCTTATATATTCCAACTTTTATTCTCTCTCTTTCTTTTGCTATTTTCTTGTGTTAATTTGTATATTGCAGACCCTCAAAGCAGTAATGTTTAGTGCCATTTTATATAATACAATGTATACAAGGAGAACATTCATCATCCACTAAAATCAGAGAACTGTTGGTCACAAAGTAATAAACATATTAAAAATATTTTAATATAATAGAAATCAAATAATCTCACATTAAAATAATATTAATAATTTTAATGTCTGATAAAAATTGCTTATGCACATTTCTCCCATCACAGATTTGGCCCCTATATGACAATATAGAGCAGGATTCAAACAACATTATATTAGATTTTATGCATGTTAGGACTAATATTCTACCTAAAAAAGACTGCTTCTGTAGTATAGATGACTTTCAAAATTTGGTTGTAATATATCAGCAAATAATTCTGCTTAAAGGATGGAATGGACTATTAAATCTATCAGGCATTCCTAATTCCTTGGATGTGCTTCAAGATATAAAACTTTAATAATTTAATTACATTCTAAACATAAAACAGTACAGGAACATTTAATCATTATCTTACACAGATACAGTGAGGGGGTTGGAACTCAGATTATCAGAACTCAGTTTCAATCTATAGAGATAAGTGACCTCAAATAAAACACTAAGAGCAATGCTAAGCAACTGGGCTCAGATATTCAACTGAATACAAGAATGGTACTTCAAAGTAAATGTTTAGAAGATTGCAGTCAGTGTTAGGCATGCCATCTTTGGCTTGGCGCCTTGCTGGGATCCTGCCATCAAAGGTTAGAAGGGAGGGGGCAAGGGGAGAAGAGGACAAATGGGCAATAAACATTTATAGCGATGTGATGGGAAATAGGGAGGGGGGATGATAGCTTGATGAAGACCAAGAAAGCACGGGTACCAGCTCTCAAGACATGTGTCGACTCACGAGAGTGACCAGGAGGATGTTGAAGCCTGGGGGGAAGCAGCATCCTCGAGACCCCATGGCAGACCTCCCTGAATGGCTGAGTCAGATGGAAGCCTGCAGTGACAAGCCAAGACCCCGATGGTCTCTGGAGGTCAGAAAGAAAGAAGAGTGGGAGGAAAAGCCATCCAGGGTGACATTCACATGCCTGAGAGAGCCATGCATGGAGATTGAGGAGGAGGCAAACCAGGGCACGATAGATTGGGAAGACAAGATGCTGGAGTGCGCAACAGAGTACCTACAGGGTGCCTTTGGCAACCTCAAGCCATGCGAAGCCCTGGGGCGGATGGCACAGCCGGCCACCCAACCAGCGCAAACCATGGGCAGTGATGGTGTGACCGTACCCACTGCCGCAGCTATGATGGTGCCTGCCCCAGCAGCTCAGACACAGGGTCTCAGAACCCCTTTCCTCTCTTTCTCCTATTCCTTTCTTCTCTTTTTCGGGTTCTGCCATTCTATTGGGGGGAGGGGGGCCTATGGGTATCCCACAGTGTATTTCCTTTGCTTTGTGCTTTTCTCTTTGAAGTATCTCTTTTTCGGGGTGAGAATGGAATGTGACTCCAGCCATCTGCCTTATCTCCAGGTGGAGGGAAGAAGCCGCAGAGAAACCTGACAACCTTGAGAGTGGTGCCTTATCGGTTCTTTCCACAATAATTTGACACCTTTGGATTGGCTCTTTTTGAACTGGCCAGCTGGACAGTCGGGGTGGGGTTTGGATTGCAACTTTGAATGTACTGTTTTGCACAGGAAACCCTCAAAATCCTGCCTTATTTTCCTGTAGTCAGCATCTCCCAATAAAAGTTCCCGTTGAAATGATGCACGTTTCAAGAGTTCTGCTTTCTTGGGAGGTTTAACTGAGGCAAGTCTTTACATTAGGCAGGATCTGCAAAGTGGTCAACCTGGAGGGATGAAAACCCCTCCTGCAGGGAATGTGCAAGTGATATCAAACCACAGCAGTGAGAAAGGAGAAGGCGCTGGGTGGAGTCCCCCTCCCTGAAAGTTTGCCCGAGCGACAGCAGCTCAGTCTCCTCCAGCTCTGGCAATGAAGTGGAGACAGGAGAGAATCTTGCAAAGCCAAGATGGTTGATCAGTGTGGGGACGAAGGAGGACTGGGAAGGAAAGTCCAAGAAAGTAACCTTCCACTGTGGCAGCCACCAGCCAGGGTGGAAGCAGGAGATGGAATGGTCTCTCAATCTCATCAAGGAAGAAGACAAGAGACCAACCGGTCTGACCATTTTCTTAAACAAGCATAAACCTGATTCTGGAAGCTTTTAAAAATCTCAAGGAGGAAGAAGCAGATCCCTGCCAGGTCCAGGTCAAGAGAAGCTGGATAAGGAAGAATAAAGGGGGGAGAGTGAACCTGCCAACCCTGCCCCTTCCACTAGCGCCACTGAGCCATGGGGACTGTGACCCCAGCCTGAGCCGGGGTGACAGGCGCAGGGCTAGAAGGAGGGGAACATGTCGACCCAAACTGAAAACTCCCCTCCTCAGCATGAAATATGATGGGGACCCCCAGATTCTTTCTGGCTCAAGTCCTGAGCCACATGCATGAGTATGGCCGGGAGATCCCCAGTGACAGTGGATGGGTCAGATTTGTAACCATAGCCCTGGAACATGCAACAGCCTGCTGGATGGTGACCCTACACAATGCCAATGCCCCTGAGCTTCGGAACTTTAACCACTTCATGGCTGCCCTGAGACAGAGGTTTGAGGACCCCTTAGTTGACCAAAAGGCTAGGGACTCCATTAAAATGGTGAGACAGGGCCGATGCCTAGTGGCCGAGTATACTGAGAAATTCCGTGACCTGGCTTGTCATCTCAACTGGCCAAAGGAAATCTTGGTTAACTATTTCAAAGATGGGCTGAAATGATCTCTACCATGTTTGTATTGCCCGAGGAGCCCCTACCTACCTTCACAATTGGTGCATCCTGGCCGAGCAGGCAGAGATCGACCAGGCCCAAAACCAGCATTGTTTTGGTCAATCATGGAGATGCTCTCCACCAGAGAGGAAAAGGGAGACAACGAAAATCCCAGCGGAAGTGCAGCATTCAACTGCCTGCTTCAAGTGCAGCAAAGAAGGCCATCGAGCTGCGGAATACTGTTTGAAGACCCTGGTCAGGAAGCCAGACCAGCCGGGGGGGGGGGGAACCTGGGAAAACCATCAACACCCAAAGGAAACTGCAATGAAAAGCACCGAGGTCATCGAGTTCCAACCCTCTGAAAACTTGGGAGGGGGAACTCCGACCCTGCCAGACAAGTGAGTGGAGGCATCCGAAAATGACTCCAATGACGAACCCCTGGTAAGTGAACCCATAGCACTCCTCACCAGGCCCATAGAATTACTAAGCCCAGGGATGGAAGAAAAGGTGGCCCTGAAGGCTTTATTGGACTCAGGCTGCACCAGATGCTTAATAAGCGCAACCCTGATGGGAAACATGGGAATTCCCATGAGGAGACTGAAGAAGCCTATTTCGTTTGGCCAGCTAGATGGGTGCACTGCACGGGGAGTCCCAGCGACCTTTGCCACGAGGCCAGTAGAACTCACCATGGGGGACCACACTGAGACTTTGACTTTTATAGTGGCCCCGGCATAGAGTGGCCACTGATCATAGGAATGGCGTGGTTAAGGAAGTGGAATCCGTGGGTGAATTGGCGGACAGGAGAACTGAGACTCCCAAAAGGGAGGCCCCACATGCAAGGTGAGCACTGCAGGGTCAGAGGGAGAAGAAAATCTGAAGTAGTGGCGACTGTCAATGATCAGGGATTGGAAGGCATGCACAGGGAATACCAGGACCTAGCTGAAGTGTTCAGCGAAGAACGATCCAACGAGTTTCCACCTCACCGCCCCACAGACTGCACCATTGAGATTATTCTAGGGGCTAAGCTGCCCAAGCCCAAATTCTACTTGATGATACCCGGGAGTTAGAGGAGCTGTATTAGTTCATAGAGAAAAATGTGGTGTGAGGTTTCATTCAGCCAGTGAGGCCAAAAGTGGCTGTCCCGGTGCTGTTCCACGAAAAAAAAGATGGGCCTCTGCGCCTCTGCTTGGATTATAGATTTCTGAATGCAGTGTGCATAAACAATATCTACCCCTTGCCACTCATGAAAGACATGCTACTTCACCTCTCGAAGGGGAAGATTTTCTCTAAACTGAACTTGCGGGAGGCATACTATCGGGTTAGAATCAAGAAGGGGGATGAGTGGAAGACTGCGTTTAACTGTCCCCTAGGATGCTTCCAGTTCAAAGTGCTCCCCTTTGGACTGCAAGGGGCGCCCACTGTTTTCATGCAGCTGATTAATGAGGTCCTCCATGAGCACTTATACAAGGGTTTTTTGGTATATTTGGATGACATTCTAATTTACACCGAAATGAAAGAGGAGCATGTCAGATTAGTCAGGGCAGTATTGAATAAGCTCTGTGCAGCCTGACTCTGCCAAACATACAAAATGCAAGTTCCATAAAGAAAAGATCGACTATCTGGGCTACTGCATTTCCCATAAGGGGGTGGAGATGGATCCAGAGAAAGTGTGGGCTGTGCTGGAATGAGCACTGCCACGAACCAGGAGGCAATTGCAAAATTTCCTGGGTTTTGCTAACTTCTATTGGCAATTCATCCCCTCATTCATGCAAATTGCACTCCCCATTACCAATTTGTTAAAAACGAAGGGGGAGAACAAGCTGAAGCCCAGCCAGCCCTTGAAATGGACTATGGAATGTCAGGCGACTTTTGAAAAACTAAAAAGGCTTTTCTCTACTGAGCCGGTGCTTAAACACACAGACCCAGAGAAACCATTTATTATTCAGGCTGATGCCAGTG